GAAAATAATAGTGGCATACAATCACGCTTATTGTGGTTTGAGCTGCAGGTCAGCTAATGGCTCTGCTGATCTTCACTGTTATGTCATCATGTGTCAAACAAGTTGAGGTGGCTGGCTGCTGGCTGCTGGTTGCTGGCTGCTGTAGGGGGGCTTGGCTGAGATGACTCAGCTTAGATCTTTGTGTTTCTTATCTTCCTCCTGGCACCTGTCTTTGTCATGGTGAGATCAGATAGCAAGAAACCAGTTGTCAAAGAGTCAATTCCAACTCATGGCAAGACCACGTGTGTCAGAGCAGAACTCTGCTCCACAGGGCTTTCAGCGGCTGATTTTCCAGTACATCAACACCAGACCTTTCCTGTGGAGCACCTCTGAGGGACTTCCAACCTTTCTATCTGTACCACCCAGAGACTAGAGAACAAGAATATAGGTAGAAATACCCAAGTCTCTTCTCAAGCCAGAAGAACTGAGTGGCAGGAATGGTTTGTGCTCATCTACTAAACTGAAAGTTAGTGGTTCAAAGCCACCTAGTGGTAATCATGGAACGAAGGCCTGGGCATCTGCATCTGTAATGATTACGACCAAGAAAAGCCACGGAACAGTTCTACTCTAAGACACGAAGGGTCCCCATGAGTTGGAATCCACTATGGCAATGGGCTTTTTGTTTTGTTTTATTTCCCTCAAGACTCCACAGACATGTTGTTGTATGTCATCGAATCCATTCTGACTCATAGCAACTCTATATGGAGTTTCCAAGGAGCGACTGATGGTTTTGAAATACCAACTTTGAGGTTAGCTGTCCTTCAACGCCACAGGCTATGCTAAAATCCCACTGGTCAAAGCAATTCACATGGACCAAACTCAAGGAACTCCAAAGTCCCAATGTAAAGGGAAGAGTGAGGTACCAGGGTCATTAGTATAACCAATCTTGAGAAACCACAGTGGAGAACACAAAAACCCCAGGGGGCAGGGAAAGCAACTTGCCAATTGCAACAGAAAAAAAGAGATTTGCTCAAGGTCATTGAGGGAAAAGTGGATTCTACCCAGCTCTGACTTCAATGCTGATTTCACTAACCCCTTTGCCCTTGATGCTCTCCAGTGGAAAATGCCTAAAGCAGGCCAATAACCAATGGGGCTCATTAGAAGGCTTCTGTCATTCTGTCAGACCTGTTCAAAAAAAAAAAAGCATTTTATGAAGGTAAACTATGTACACTTTCTTAGGAAAACAAGGTGAGAAAAAAGTGTTTTAATAAAAACTGCTCTGCCCCTACCCAGGTCCATGTCCCAAAGGGAACGCATTTCAACAATATTAACCATTTCTACTTTAACATCTGCCACTTACCTCTGAATAATAAATTTATTCTGCTGGGCTGCGAACCTTAAGGTCAGCGGTTCGAAACTACCAGCTGCTCCGCGGGAAAAAGATCAGGCTTTCTACTCCCGTAAAGATTTACACCCTCGGAAACCCTGTACAGGGTCGCTATGGGTCGGAACCGACTCGATGGCCCTTAACAACAACAACAACATCCTTTCTGCTTGACAGGTAAGAATTTGTACCCCATCTTCCCTTTTCCCTGTTGTGGTGTTGTAAGATAAGCACTGGACCACTGCTTTCATGGCACTTAAGAACAACTTCCCTCTCAGGTCCTCTTAATCCTGCTTTAGAACTCCAGTGTGGCGCTGTAGGATCAATACCAGACTACGAGCCATAAGGTTGGCAGTTCAAATCCACCAGCTGCTTCTCGGAACTCCTGTATGGGGTTGCTATGACTCAGAACCAACTCAACAGCACTGAATAACAACAACAACAATACAGTTTTATGGTTATTTTGATACATATTTGACAGTGACATCCGAAAGACCAGAGAAGAATCAATGCATTCGAGTTACGTCGTTAGAGGAGAATGTCAAAATTACCATGGACTGCCTGAAGAACAAACAAATCTGTGTACGAAGATATACAAGCAGAATGCTTCCTAGCAGCCAGGATGTCGGGCTGTCGTCTCTTATAGTTCAGACGAGTTATCAGGAGGGACCCGTCTCTGGAGAAGGACATCATGATTGTAAAGTGGAAAAATAGGAAGACCCCCAATGAAATGAGATGGATTGACACATGGCAGCAGTAATGGGCTCAGGGTAACAGTTCTGAGGAAGGTGCGGGACCTGGCAGTGTTGTGTTATGTTGAGCATAAGGTTGCTGAGTCGAAAAGGCACCTAACAACGGTCATTGCCATGATAACTTTATTTCATACCGTAATCCACAGGATCTTTAGATACCCCCATTTGTAAGATAAGGATATTAGCAGCTTCTTTATCTCTCAGCTCCTGTCAAGTCCCCTTGCAGTCTAAGGTCAATATAATTTGCATTCTGTTGTCTATGTATACTTTATTCATAGGCTGAAGCTAAGATTCTTTTTCAAAAAAATCAATGAATGATTTTTACATTTTGAGTCCGTTTCTGACACACAGAAGGAAAGGCTATTGACAAAGTAGACAGAGTAATAATGGGTTTTCTCCAGCTAGCCAACTCACAGGTCACGTGCAATACATAGCAGATGTACTTGGCCTAAGCTGAGATTGATGAGATAGGAAAGGACAGGGAGTCAGAGGGCATGCATGACTGGTGTGCCCTGTCATGCCCCCACAAAGACACTGAAATTATGGGGTCAATGTGTTCTGCTACTATGACTCAGTGATTCTGACGTCAGCTTCCTTCACACTTCTCTCCCACCCTGCCCTCCTCCCTCTCCATGTAGCAGGTGCTTAACAGGACCCTCAAAGCTTTGCACACAGGAAAAAGAATTCTTCTTCCTGAGAAAGGTTTCCAGTATTTAGAATGGAGGAGAAAGAAGGCTGATGGTGCCATGGTGAAGCAGGCGGCTGCTAACCCACCAGCGTCTCCAAGACCCATGGATCTGCTCCGGTAAAGACTACACCTTAGGAAACCCCATGGGGCAGCCCCATTCTAACCAACGGGGCCACCAAGAATTGAAATGTATTCAACAATATACAACAACTGTAGCACAGAGGAAGATCTTAGAATGTAGGCAGGTGAGGAAGGAGAAGGTAGAGACAAGCTAACAATCATGGGCAACTAGCCAAATACAGGTCTGTGTCACCTTACTAGAATCTCACACTAACACTCTCTGTGAGGCTGTATGATCCCCACTTTACAGATGAGAATAAGGCTGGAGAGACCCAGTGACTTGCCACAAGTCACAATTGGCAGAGTCTTGGCTTGCCCTTCTGGTAGAGCCTCACTGTGCCCATGTCCTTGACCCAGGGAAAGCAGCTGAACCTCTCTGTTTCTTCATCCATAAAATTAGAGACCCATACCATGGTATGTCTATCCTTGTGGGGTGGTTGAGAGGACCAGAGATAATGTCGATGAAGAACCTGGCATGTGGCGTGTGTATCTGTCCTGAAACTGGTGGCTGTGATTCCAGGACATGTGGCTCCCTAGGAACCTTCTGGAAGTGAAAAGAGTGTGGCGCTGTAGGATAATGCACTAAATCATAAGGTCGGTTTGAACTACAAGGTCAGCAGTTCAAACTCACCGGTCAGTGGCTCATCGGAAACCCTATACAGAGTCGATATGAGTCGGAATGTGACTCTTCAGCACTTAACAACAACAACACAGCTATCTAGTGGCAGAGCCTGCCAGGAAGGCCAGTAGCCAGGACTTCTCAGTACCCCACACATAGTCTCTGGGCTGAGCTATCAGAGGCAGAGAGAGCACTGGGCTAATTAAGTCCAGCATCTCAAAATCTCTCTCTCCTTTGTCTTCCTTCCTGCCACCCCCAATTTCAAGTTTAAAGCCAGGGCTCCAGGGATTTTTGAAGGGACTCTGAGGATCATAAAGGGGAGCAGAGAGGACTCCTTGTGACCTCAATGCAGCCACTGTTCCCAGAAAGGGCAAAAGTCTCCTCAGGCCAGCCCTACCCTAGCCTTCCCTCTGATTGGCCTTGCTAAAAACGTTTGCTCAGGTCAGGCAAAGGAGGTCACCCTGCCAGAACCTTCCTCCATTCTTCTCCTCCTCCTCCTCTGGAGGAAGGGTCGAGGCTAGGTCAAGATAGTGTGGACCTAACACATGTACAAATTATGCCATTCTGGCTGGCCAGTACCCTTTCAGAGTTGGACCTTTTTTCTCCCTCTGCTCTGGTCTTAGTGCCCCATCCACACCAGGAGCTCAGGAGACCTTAGGACGCATGGAAGGGAGAAAAGTCTAGCCTTCCATTCAATGCTTCCGGGCATCGCACCGGCACTGTAAGTTCAGAAGGAGTTAGGCCGACTGAAGAAGATCAACAGGTACCGTCCCTGATGCCACCTTACCTATAACGGCCAACGTGACTATGGAGATGCAGAGGAAGGGATGAGAGGGGAGTACCAGCTGGGTTCCTCATACGTTGATTCGTGGCCTCAACTGAGACTCAGCCCCTCGCAGGACGGCCGGAGGGGGTTCACCCGCCGCACCCTTTGTGCTGGCAGCCTCTCCTCCTTCCCCTCCCCCCAGGGCTCTCTACTCCAGCTGGCACGCCTCGGGGTTGTTCTGCGTTGGCTCCTTTGGCCTCAGGCTCGTCACCCTGAGAGCCAGCACGTGACTTGCGCACTAAACCGGACGCGGGACGGGTCTTGGCCTTGCCGCCCCGCCCTGTATTCGCGCGCCTGGTTCCCCCTCTATAACATCCACAGACCCTTGCACCCCAACACCTAGGCCCCAATGGCTGTCACGCGAGACCCGCCTGGGGCTGCCTCCCGGGCCTTGGAAGCTAGACAGAAACCAGGGAGTTCTGCGAAGGTGGAAGGGGGAGGGCGGCGGGTCCGAGGGAAGGTGGCTCGGCGCGGGGCCGCCCCCTCCTCGCCTCGCCCCGCCCCGCCAGGCCGAGTCCTCCACACCCCATAGGCAGAGGCGACCCTCTCCGCCTCCCCGCCCGCTCCCCGCTTGCCCCGCCTTGGCTCACTTTAAAATTTACTCGGCCCGGGACGTGGGGCAAAAGCGAGCCATGGCTGTCTGCGTCGGGATGCTGCGCCTCGGGAGACTGTGCGCGGGGCGCCCGGGGGTGCTGGGGGCCCGGGTCGTCCTCGTCCGAGACTGGCGGGAAGCGATCTTGCAGGGCGTCCGCTCTCTCAGGTACCCGCCGGGGATGAGAAGGGGGCGGGACTGCTCCCCCCTTTCCCCAGGAGATCTTGGGTGTTCAACTGAGCCCGCGGCACTCTCACCTCTCTGGGTGGCGTGCGCTGGGAAGTAGTACTCCGTACCCTAAAAACAGGAAAAGGCGGCCTGGCTCGCGCGGGCTGAATCACGGCTGACCGCCCGCCGTTACCCTGCGCTGACCCCGGTTCTGGTCCTGTAGTTTGTATTTTTCTCATCCTGCGCAAGTAGGGTGCCAGGGGTGCGGGCCTTTAGCAGTCTTGTTTGAGAAGGAGGGCCAAGGCCGTGGCGGGGCCCTGTCTCTAGGATACTGTCCCGGAGCTGAGATAAGCTTGAGGATCTGTTTTCCCTTAAGCCACTAAACTTGATGTCTTCCCTCCCTTATCAGCTACTAGCAGACACTGTTTTAGATCCTTCTAAGGAGCCCTGAACAGGGTCGCTGTGGGTCAGAACCGACTCGACGGCACTTAACACCAACACCAACAATAACAACAAGGAGCCATGATAGTGGGAATCCACTCGACCGACAGCAGTGAGTTTGGTTTTGGAAGGATCGTTGGTGGCACAATGGTTAAACACTTGGCTGATAACCAAAAGGTCAAGTTCCAGCCCACCAAGTGTTCTGCTTCCATAAAGATTGCAGTTTAGGAAACCTTTTGGGGTGGTTCATTGCTTGTAGGGTGGCTCTGAGTCAGAATGCACTCGACTTTCTGTAACAATAACCCACTCCTGGGATTGCACTGTTCTGAATGCAGGGAGTGGTGGAATGGGAGCTGGCAGGCCCAGAATGTGATGGTCACTGGCTTTGCTGCAATGAGTAAAGCTGCCTTCCTGGTGTTGCCAGGAGATTGTAAATATCAAACTGTGTTGGTCACACAAATTAGGTTCCCTCGGTGATATAAGTGATGGGTTATCCTCAGCACCTAACAGGAGGAGGCTTGGGTACCACCAAACAGACCCTTAGCCCAGCCACCCAGCCAGGTCATGGTACTAAGTCTGTGGTCAGGATCCAATTTTGGACACCAGATGGGGTGTGGGCCTGGGTCGGGTAGGGGAGGAAAAAGCCTGAATAGATCTGTCTGAGAGAACTCTACTTGGTTTATTAAAAGAAATAAAAAGTTGCAAATTCCTCTTTTAGCTAGAATTCTAAGATTTTGAACTTGTTGGTTCCTGAAAGCTAGAATACTCATCAGGTGGTAACATCTTATGCCTAGTTTTTTTTTTCTTTTTTGAGGGTAAAGTTCAGTGGGGTAAGTCAAATCAATGGCAGTTTGCTGTTGCTATTGACAGGTCAGGACTTTGAACCGGTTCAAAATAGTTCAATAATGGCCCATGGAAACAAAGGCAGCATTCTGTCTGCATAGTAACCAGAGCTCTTGTGTGGGGGATTCTGAGTCTACTCAAGATGGAGGCCAATACACATTCAAAGCAGTGTGATTGGCTGCCATCTTTGAGCAGGGCTTCTCTGCCTGTGTGGTTGCTATGCAATGTGAACACTGCCCTTGTTTCTGTGGGCTTTGACTATTTCCAACTAGTCCAAAGCCCAGGCTGTGAAGCTAAATAGGTTTCAATGGAGCTTCTAGACAGACGGACTAGGAAGAAAGGCTTGGAGATTTACTTCCCCAAACAAGCCAATGAAAACCTTGAATTACAGCAGTTCGATCCACAACAGACCAACCCACAACAGCTCCAGGGACTGGTGCAGGACTGGAGAGTGTTGAACAAGAGGGTCTCCATAAATCAGGGGGGCAGGTGGCTATGTGCCATGGAGTCGATTCCAACTCATAGTGACCCTGCATAGGGTTTCCAAGGCTGTAAATCTTTACAGGAACAGAAAGCCTCGTCTTTCTCCTGCAGAACAGCTGGTAGTTTTGAACTGCTGACCTTGCAGTTCACAGCCCATGTAAGTCAGGGTAGCTAACAAAATGACAATAGAACTGGTCAGTCAGTCGATGGGATTTGGATGGAGACATCTGGTTCCTCATGTTATTTACTATCTTTCAGTGCCTCCACAGACAAGCTCTACTACCCTAACCCCTAGCCTCCAAGTCCCACATCAAGACCCTTGAGAGCCCTCCAACCTGAAAGGAAGTTGTGGAAGTTAATCCTAAAAGTACACATGGTTTGTGATGCTAATCAGATCTCCTCCAGCAACCTTCTCAATCTTTGAGTTTTCCCAGGAAAAGAGTAAACAAAGTAGATCCCTTACTTGCTACAAGGATGCAACCCAATCTGCAGTAATTATGTTTCTATGTCAAAGACATCAATTTGCTTGGATCCACCATCAACACCCATGGAAGCAGCAGTCAAGAAATCAAATGATGTATTGTATTAGACAAATCTGCTGCACAAGACCTCTCTCAAGTATTCAAGTGCAAAGATGTTAGTTTGAGAACTAAGGTGCACCTGACCCAAGCCATGGTATTTTCAGTCACCTCATATTCATGTGAAATTTGGGCAATGAATCATGAAGACCGTAGAAGTATCAATGCGTTTGAACTGTGGTATTAGAGAAGAATATTGGAAGTACCATGGAGGGCTAGAAGAACAAATAAACCTGTTTTGGAAGAAGTGCAGCCTGAATGTTCCTTAGAAACCAGGATGGTGAGACTTCATCTCTTATACTTTGGACGTATTATCAGGAGGGGCCAGTTCCTAGTGAAGAACATCATGCTTGGAAAAGTGGAGGTTCAATGAAAAAAGAGGAAGACCCCAACAAAATGGATTGACACAGTGGCAGCAGCAATAGGCTCAAACATCACAATTGTAAGGATGGTGCGGGACTGGGTGGGGTTCTGTTGTGCAGAGGGTTACTATGAACCTGAACCAACTTAATGGCACCTAACAACAACAACTTGTCAAAAGTGATCCATTTATCCATCGAGAGTAGATTTCTTGATCCTTTGGCCTGACATTTGCCCATGTCATCTATCCTCTTATGCTAGAGCCCTGTCCTGCTGTCAAAAAATTAGTTTTGCCTAATTGCTCCCATACTTAACCTCAGGCAATGTTCAACAAACATTCCTGAGAGCAAACAGCACGTCATCTGTGGTGCTGTGGATATAGAGACCACAGAACCCTAAACCTGAGCTCTCAAGAGACCTGTAATCTAGTGGGGTGGAAGTATAAATCAACATATGATCCCACTGGGTGTTCCAAGTGCCATGGAGCAGACACTGTCCAGCTTCTGTCCTCTGTTCTTCCTGATATGGTCAGAGATAACCCCAAGCCTATGATTTATGGGATCCCCACTTTAGCCTGATAGAAAAGAGCAAGAAGTTTAAAGGCAGATCGACTTGGGTTACAGCCCTGGCTCCTCTACCTACTGACTACGTGATCTTGGGCATGTTACCTAACCTCTGAGTCTGGTTAGACGGTCACTAATACTGTTTATTGCTGGGTTGTTGGCAGGTTGACAAGTGCTTGCTCTTCTTCTCAGGCTTTCCTTTAGGGTAAGGCTGATCACTGGGAACCTTCAGATAGTATCTGGGCAGGATTCGGATTGATTTGAGAGTACACGATGATCCCTTCTCAATGGCCTCTTCATTGGAACCGATTCTCTCTTCTGGCCTGTTGCCAAGATGGTGGACTACCCAGATACCAGTCCAGTCCTTGGGCCTGCTGGACATCCCCTTCTCCATCAAAGGTAGGGCTGTCCAGAGTCTTCTTGTGAGGAAAGAAGAGGTAACCATTGTTCTCTGGATCTGAAAACCACCCATTCTTCCCTTGTCCACATACAGCCTGTCCCGAGGAAGGTTAGATGAGTAGTCTGGGGCCCCAAGGAGGCTTGGAGGGAGAAATCCACGGAGAAACCTAAAGAGGAGCGAGCCTCCTACATACTTCCCTGAATACTGGCCTGGGAGACAGCTGCACCTGGGGTGTTGGGGGCACTCAGAGCATTGCATCCAATACTGAATGTAATTAATGCTCAGGGCTGAGGGTCCAGTGACACAGAGGAGAGAGTGGGTTTCATGGACCACTTTCCAGAGAGGAGAATCAGATAGTATCAGCAACTTAGACACTGTGTCTGTATGAAGGATTTCTAAGCCAGGAGGTGTTTGGGTGGAAATCATAAGTAGTTATAAAATGTAGACTCGTCTCATAACCTCTAAAAGATGATTTACACATAATTTGGGATGATCTCTCTGTGCGTTCCACTGGGGATCTCCAGTCTAAATGACAGTAGTAATAGAAAATGGCAATACATTTGGGCATTATAATCAAAGAATGCCCTCATCTGTTTTAGTTATTTTCCCTGCCTTGTATGTAGTATGTGTGCAATCTGTGGAGGTTGCAAAGGGGATACAAAGATGAATGAACTTGGCTTTCATTCTCCCTAAGAGAGATGGTGGTGCTCTGGTGTGGCTCTGCACTAGACCGCAAGCCTGGTTTGAACTGCAATGTAAGCCGTTCAATTTCACCAGCCACTTCTTGGAAACCCTATACAGGGTCACAATGAGTCGGAACCAACTCGATGGCACTTAACGACAATAATAACAAGAGAGATGATATAAGGAAAGGCCAAAGATTCAGCTTCAAGAGAAAGGTGCATTACCATTAAGGATGTCAATCAAAACAAGAACGAATCGGTGAGATTAGGGAAGCATCCTTCCTAAAGAGCTGTGGTTCCCAATCTTCTGAGTATGAAGCTCTCTTAACCTGCCCCATGTTATATTAGTTATTTAATATTCAAATGAAAACTTTGGAGCATGAGAGATCTGTGTTCAAACGAATCAACATGTTAGCTGAGGAGCTTTGGGACTTAAGCGGTACTTTACTTTTCTCAGATATAACTGGTATTATTGTAAAGGTTAAATGAGGTTTCCTTAGAAGATGCATAGCACGTAGCCATGCGCCAAGTAAATGTTCACATCGCTGCAGAGTGGTGAGCTATTTTGCAGACAGTACTCATCAGCCTGGTTTGGCGCTGTAGGATAAGCATGTACTGCAAGGTCAGTTTGAACTGCAGCGTCAGTGGT